GGGGGGGGAGAGAAGGCTGGGGCCCTGAGAATGACTCTCAAGCATGCGCCGCTGGACTTGGGGCCCTCACTCCACTCCCCTAAAGCGTTTCTCTGATTCACCGTGAGGAGCTGGACAATGACCCCATCTTTGGACCTGCCCCTCAAACCTGGCCAAAACAGGAGAAATCATGAGGGCTTCCTGGCATGCAGGACTCTCTTCAAGGGCTTGCCTCCCTCTCTCTGCTTCAGGGGCTTCCCTGGGCAGGAGAGTATGGCAGGTTGGGAGGGTGCCTGCTCCCTGACTGTGACTCCCATGTCCTAGGTGGCTCCTCCCCAGAACACAGCCCTCCCCCTGAAGAAGAGAAGTTGTCACAGGCAAGGCCCCCCTCCCCCCTGGGGTTGGCTGGAAACACAGCAGCTTCTGGAAGCACAAGAAGGTCCATAAGGCACTGGGTGGACAACTGGGAGTGTTAGGGAGTCATCCAAGATGGCCCAGGAGGTCATATCTGGGTTCCCTAAGCCCTTCCTGGTCCCCTAGACTGTTGTCCATGCCACCCTTCCCCTTGCCATATCCTAGGGGTTCCATAACACAGTTCATTTGGCTGGAAGTCACCTGAAAGACTGTTGCCTAATTCTTAATTGTATAGATTGGGAAACTGAGGCCCAGAGAGGGAAACAATTTGTCAAAGCCCACACAGCAAGTCTGCGATTGAGTGGTCAGGGGAATTCCATCCACGTAATCTCATGTGACTCTGTCCTCAGGAATGTAGCCCCTCCTTCTCATGAGCCCCTACCTCCCCAAACCACCCCAATGAGAATAATGGTGACTAGAACCTTCTCTGTGGCCAGTCACAAAGGATGGCCCTTTGAGATGATCCATCCAAACCTGTCCATGTATGGATGGGGAAGCAGAGTCCCAGAGAGGGTTCGTGGTAAGTCTGAGAAACCTTGTGAGGGGAGCCAAAATGATCATTTCATAAAGAGTGAAACCAGTCCAAGATCCCTGGAGCGTCTATACCCTCCCTAAGCATCTGCACTCTCCCCAGAGTCCTTTGTCCAGCCTATCCTCTCCCCACAGCCTGAGTCTGCCTTTTTGCTGTGTGACTGGGCATGATTATGTACCTCTCTAGGCCTCTGCCCATTCAAGAAGGGTCCCTCTTTGCTCAGAGTCTCAGAGACTTTAAGCCATCCCAGCCCCAGGCCCAGCAGGAGAAGGCCTGGAAGGGAGAGGACCAAGTGCCACATTGGAGCAGGGTTGGGGGGTTGCATGCCATGAGGGACCAGCCCACATGGCCAGCCCGCCTTCCAGAGCCAGGCCAGCCCCGCTGTTGTGACCTTCCCTCTCCTGGCCAGCCGGCCAAATTCCTCCTTTAGAATAATAAACAGTGTGGCCAGCCAGGGAGGCCAGGAGGGGCGGGGAAGGGAGACTGAAATGGCCCCCTCCCCCAGCCTCGCCACTAATGATTTTCTTTGGCTGAGATCTCTGGCAGGAAGGGGAGAGCCAGAGGGGCACCCACAGAGGGGCAGACGGGCCTCCATGGGGGCTGCTGGCTCCGCCTTGGCGCTGCTCCTGCCTGCCCGAGGAGGACTGGCGTCCAGCTGGAGGGGCTGGGGCAGGAGGGACAGTAGTGGGGGATGCTGCAAAGGGGGCATCAGAGGGCTTTGAGTCAGGAGTGATTTGGAGAGGGGAGAGGAAGAAACGGGACTCTCAGGCAGGCTGGCCTGAAGGATGGGGAAAGACAGGGAGAAGAGGGGATTTGCTGAAATTGCTTCTTGGGGTGCTGGGCAGAGCTGGGTCCTGGGGTCTACAGGTCAAGGTCTGTCCCACCCTGACGTTTGAATGCAGCCTGATAGGTGGGTCACTCACCATCATCCCACCTGAAGAGCTGGAGACCAAGGCCACAGAGATAGTGATGGCACAAGAGGTAGCGTGCTGAGGCTCAGACCCGGACCCCCAGCCCAGGACTGGAAACTGAAAGGGGTGAGATGGGGAGATGGGGGCAAGCTGGGCATGGTCTTTGGAGACAGGCCGGGCTGAGCAGCCACTCAGGGAAGCGCACAGCCCACAGCATCAGGAGGCTCCTTGTTGCCTCTTCAGTGGTCACTTCCCACGTTTCTTGCTCACGACCCCCATCCACCTCTGGCCTCCTTCCTGTCGATGCTGCAGGCAGACCCGTGACATACCAGGCCACTGTTGGTTATTTGGGTCCTAGGGCAGGGACAGAGCAAAGGCCCACCCAATCCAGTCTGTCTCTTGCAGTGTCCCTGCTTCTGCCTCTTTGTTCCTCTGGTGCCATGTGTTTCTATGCATCTCCTCTCTCTGTCTCTCTGCATCTTTGCCTCTCTCTGCTTCTGTCAGTCCAGGTCTCTTTGTCTCCCTCTCAGACAAGCTCTGCTATGGAAACTTGGACAAACTTCTTTCTCTCTCAGAGCCTCAGTTTCCCCATGGGGAAAAGCTTGGGGGTGAGGAGCTTGGCTTCAGTGGTCTCC